AGGTGACATATTTGTCCCTTCCAGGGGACAAATAGCAAGCTTCTGCTATAGTCCTTGTCTCCATGTAGGGGGGTCCTTTAAGAGTCCAGTCACTCACTTCACTTCTGACCCGATAGCTAGGCTACTGTCAGCGAGCCATGAATCAGGGAAAATGTGGCACGTATGGTGTGGGGAAGCCTGCCTGGCCATAACCACTGCATGTAATTTGGCCCACTGGATGGAACATCCATAGTCTCAGCCCAAAGATGGCAGTTACAGCCCAGAGGACCTGGTCTTCTTTTAGTTTCACAGAGCCACTAGTAAACTATACCAATCACAGGCAGTCAAGTGTCCAATCTCAGGACCCAGGAAACCAAGGGAGACAGAGCATCTACTTTGAATCACTTGGTTCCTTCTGGCAAGTTAGCCATTTGTTTATGAAGCCTTCTGGCCCCTTGGGGTCCCAGCTGGGTTTATCTGGAATGTACCATTTCTGTTTGATAACTGAGTTTTGTTGAGGCTATTAGATTTCATTAGTAAGCTTTGTAAGCACCCAAGTAAGAACAGTTAGGGTTGTCACTGTGGTGCTCCAGCTTTAAGGGTCTGTATCCCTCAGTGTGCAATAGCAAGCAAAAGGTTAGCATTCAAAAGGAATTTATCTGGTGGTTTCCTCAGGCAACTAATCTGTCAAAAATCAGTATGGCTGTTTTCTATCATCACACATTCCTATCAACACAAATGATCTATGGCTTCCTATTGAACTATCAGGCATTGAAATTTTTTTTTTTTTTTGTAGAGATTTTTGCTATAGGGGGCATGCACTTACCAGAGAGACAGAGAGAGAGAGAGACATAGAGACAGAAAGCGAGAAATCAATCCCCTCCCCGTCCCCCCCCTTGGGGAGGATGGCCACGCCAGTACCTTCTCTTCCATTCTCCTCTTGGGATTTTGGGCATGCATGCACGCGAGCCTGGCGTGAATTTTAAGCTGCCGGGTCCAGGACTTGAACCACAGTCTACTATGTGGGAGTCCAGTGACATAACTATTATACCATCTGCTAGTCCCCAGGCACCAAAGTTTTAAAAGCAGTATCTAAGTCATGGCCTGTTGAATGAATTCCAACACCTGCTACTACAAAGAATCTTGTTCAAAGTTAGATTTGGTCACTTTGATTAACGGAGCCAAAAGAAAACTCATGAGGCATACATGCCGTCTCCAATGCCCTAGGAGGCCTACCAGCTGTTGGGCCCTGTTTTTAGTGGAAGCTCCTACAATCAACAGTTTTCCCTCGCAAGTACTTGGGATAATTCTTTGGTGTCCTTCCTAAGTGTCTTTGGCATTCATCCTGTTCAGTCCGTCATTAGTCTCGAAAGGCTCTGAAGGCCATTTGATCAGCGGCAGTAAGCTGGTACAGTGACAGGGTTGTTTGTAACATTTATACCTGTTAACAGGTTTTGAACTAATAACGTAATATCTTGTTGTCCACTTTGTAGTACTGCTTCTGTTGAAAAACCACTGGAGGGGCCAGCAGGTGGTGTGGTTGTTAAGGCACTGGATCCCACATGGCCAACTGCATGGTTTGAGTTCCAGACCTGCTGGCTTGAAAATCACACTGGGCTTGTCTGTGTGTGACCAAAATCCAGAGAGGAAAATGGAGAAGGGATTGTAGAAATATGCTGTCCTTTGGTGGGACCAGAGACCCTAATCCCAATCCTTACTGTGCCTTTCAGCCAGACATTTGGATCTGCAGTGTCACTTTACCAGACACACCAATTAGGCTGCAGACTTGCCTGGCTTTTCTCCATATTAAGTCCTTTAGATAATGTTTCCCTTTTTGTGAAGGCCCAAGTTGCAAATATTGGTTTCCTCTCTGGTGCTTCAAGAATAAGTACTTCTTTCTCCTCCCCTGCCTTGGGGTCCATCTGAGTACCCACTTCCCAAGTTCTCTAGCCCTGGAAATGAGAATTACAAGCGAGCAACTAAGGGAGTGTACACCGTGTTTGTTTCCACCCTTTCTCTCTGCACAATCCATTCAGCCAATTTTATAACACCGACAAGGGGGGAGACCTGTGTCATTATCTTTCTTCCCCATGAAACATCCAGCTGTAGGTGTACTCAAATGTCTCCAGCCAGCACTTGGTACTGGGGTATTGTTTCTCTCACTTCATCAATATTAAGTCATGGCTCTGTCAGCCTAAATGTGCTAGCTTTGCCAATTTAAGAAGCAGAATCACCGTGCCCCCTGGTTACTAACTCATCTGAGTCCGGTGAGACAGAACACACTCACAAGTTACATGAAAGCAATTTATTATTTAGACAGGCAGCAAGAAATAAGTACCTAGAATTATTATTATTATTTTTTTGAGAGGTTTTCGCTATAGGGCACGTGCGCTCGCCAGACAGAGACATAGAGACAAAAAGCGAGAAATCACCCCCTGGGGGGGATGGTCACGCCGCAATCCCTTCTCCTCCGTTCTCCTCTCGGGATCATGGGCATGCATGCACACGCGCCCGGCGTGAGTTTTAAGCCACTGGGTCCAGGACGCGAACCGCGGTCGACTACGTGGGAGTCCAACGACACAGTCATTACGCTAACTGCTGGTTCCCAAGTACCTAGAATTCTGACAAGCCAGTCTTAACAAGCTCAGGAAAGTACTGAGTGTGCCCTACTTGCACTACAACTGAAGGACCCTGGAAAGCAGGCTGCCCTGAGTTATATTATACTTAGGGACACAGACATGCTAGACAAAAGCATCAAAGGACATCCTGTTTTGGGGGTACTGTAACAGAACCCCAGCTGTTCCACCAGTCCTGCTCCTATTTCAGGGTGTTCCGTTCCCAGCTCATTCTACAGTGCTTAGAACTTAATTGTTCTAAGGCCACCAGGATAACTGTCCTGTGGGCACAGTTTAAATCACAATTAGTTCAATTAAGCTAAACTGCAATTTTTTTGACAGATTGCTCTGACCAAATCCCAGCTTAAACCTACTAGGCCTAAACCTCCACTTGTAATGATTTGAAGAAAATACTACCAGCATAGTTTCTAACAGGTCAAGGCCACATCCATTCCACAGGATGACCCTACCCCCTCTAAAGTGCCTGCTTATGAAAACTCATGGCTACCAAGAAATTTACTATTTGTTCAAGCCAACACTTCAAAAAGAAGTATCGTAGTCTCTCTGGATGGTAAGAGCCCAGCTTGGGGATAAGAACCAGTTAAACCTAAATGAGTATCATGCAGATGGATCAACACTCCTGCAACTTGTAGTTTTCTTGGTAATTTACCTCTCTGACTCAACTAAACCCTCACTTACTCTTCCCTATTACATCATCCTCTATTTAAAACACCTCTATACAAACCAGCTAAGTACAGTTCACACTGGATCCTGCTCACTGCAATGGTATTCAAGGGGTCTTCAAAAAGCTCAGGGAAAAATTCTTATGAAAAACCTATGCATGGATTTTAAGTATTTTTGCATCAAAATAAACTCACTTAACAAAAAAAAAAAAAAGGCCAGAGTGTGTGTATGCTATCAGAGAGAAAGCACTCCCCATGGGGGATGGTCATGCTGAATGTCTTCTCCTCCACTGCTCTCTCCTTTCAGGATTTTGGGCACACATGCCTGGTATTTCTGAAGCCACCAGGTCCAGGACTCAAATTATGCAGTTGGCCATGTGGGATCCAGCCATCTTAACCACTGGGCCACTGGCTGGCCTATCATAAATTTGTATTTTTTTTTTAGAGGTTTTTGCTATAGGGTGCATGCACTCGCCAGACAGAGACAGAGAGAGAGACAGAAAGAGAGAAATCACTCCCCGGGGGGATGGCCACGCCTCAATCTCTTCTCCTTCATTCTCCTCTCGGGATCTTGGGCACGCACGCACATGCACCTGACATTTTAAGTCACCGGGTTTGGGACATGAACCACAGTCGACTATGTGGGAATCCAGTGACATAGCCATTATGCTAACTGCTGGTCCCATAACTTGTACTTTAACTCAATTTTTCCATAAGCTGTTTGAAGACCCCTTATATTACTGATTAAAAATCAGTCTTTACTATTTTAAAAGTGTCCAGCTCTCTCTTTGATATGAACCTTATTTGCATAGTTCAGGAGCCAACTAGGATGAGTTTGTCTGCCAAATTTGGGGGCCCCCACCTTCTCTAGCTTTTCTTTCTGAGATTTTCCCCTCACTTTCTGGAAGCTGTGGTAATCCCTGCATCCATCCTAGATCTCTAGGCCTGAAAGATAGCAGGCTTTCTAATGCAGCTTTTAGCTGTCCCACGAATAGCGTCATGACTATAGCTAGCACTTAAGTCACAGATCAAAAACATCAAACTTAGCTTTTGCCTGTCTCTTCCTCCAAATTTCATCTCTAGTCCAAAATCTTCCTGCTTTCTTCAATTTCCAGAGCTTTCAGGTAGTGGTTTTTGGTATTTTGCCCAGAACCTACATTTGATCTTTGGAAATATTAATCTGCTAGACTGATTACTACTCCAAAGGGAAGTGGGATTTTCAAGTCTTTGCTTTCACACTGGCTGTTAATTTACCTGATGTACCAAAACAACAACAAGGCATCTGCTCTTCAAACATCTCATGTTCTACTTAAAGATAATATTCACATGTTGTATGTACTGCTCATATGGGTATATTTCCTATTTTGTATGATAAAGGCAAATGTTCAAGCTATCAAAGAGGTTAATACATCATAGGCTCTAGAGACCAACTGCCAACCTCTGTATCTCAGCTCCGCCACTCACTAATACCATACATTATCTACATGGGAAAGTTTTTTAACTGTTCTCCTCAATTTAATTTCCTCAATTTTATGATGACAAAAATAATATACTTCACTGGGCTACTATAAAGATGAAATATGAAAATGGGTACAAATAGGTATTGTGTCTGATGTATGGAAAGAGCTTGATAAGTATTAGTTAATTCATCTTAATGAAGATGCATGAAATAAATATCCTTAATCCACTTAATGTCTTTCTTCTAATCAAAGAAAAACAACACTGCTAGCAAAAACTTCATATATATTTCAGAATTTTCATACAAGAGCAAAATTACAGAGAAGACAAAAATTGGGAAAACACACAAGCAGCACATTTGCAGCAGAGGAAAGGAAATTAGTACATATGGCAAAATATTCAACCCCACAAGTTATTGTTAAAATGCTAGCTACAATAGCAATGAGATACCATTTTATAAATATTAAATCAGAAATATTAAAATTAGCAGCCAGTACTGACTAGTTTGTGGTCAGACTGGTATACTATTCTTTATTGGTGTATAGAATGATGTATCTATTTTGGCAAATAGTTTGCAATAGAGCTGAAAGCAAACGAAAAACTTTGTATATGTTACCTATGATTCTGGACTTTCGACAATTCAGCATTTATAGCTTTATCTTCCTCCCTCCCACAATACAGAACTAATTTCAGATTCGATCCTTTCCAATGTGTCCCATCGTATCAATTACTTCATTTTCCCTGACATCTCAGATATATAATGAAAATGAAGGATGAAAAATTTCAAACCTATACCAGAAAATGTGAGCATTTATCAGGGAAAGGATTATAACAACACCAAGGAAGGAAGACTCAAATATCAAGAAGGGATGCGAGGCCAATATAACACATCCAAGATCAGTTTAGACCACACTGAAGCTTTTAGGATTCAGAGCTTAGAGATATTGTTTTGGTGATGTACCTAGAAATACTATAGATAGTACCTTAAGGTGTTTGTGAGCTGCATCTTTGTAGTTCTAAAGAAATTTTAGTCCTTTACACTGGAAAGCAGAAAACACTGAAAATTGGAATCACCAAACTTTTGAGTTATTTTGGCAGAATAGGTTGATGTATATATTTATCAGACTGAAGAAAAAAGATAAATTTGATTGGGTCTGCTAGTTCCTATATTCTTATCTACCAAAACATTATCTACCAAGACATTATTACTGATTGGATTATGAAAAAAATCTTTGAACATATTTGGAGACTTCAGATAAACTTAGGGAGAGAGTAGTATGCAACAAACCTCCTTCTAAACATCTATTAAAATGCTCATAAATCTTAAAAACCTAAAGACTTAAGGTTACAGAGACCAATTACTAGGCAAATAGAAACATGATACTCAAACATTATTATGAGAAATCCTTCAAGGTCCTTTTCCCATTTCAGTCAGAGATTTGGCATTGTGAGTTGCTGACCCAGCCTTACTCAGCATATGCACAATATCTTCCTTTGCATTCTCTGTTGGTTTGGTTACTTGCTTTATCATTCCTCCCTACTAAATGCCTTTATTAGCAATAGAAAACACATTAATATGGCCTTAGGAATAAAACTAATTAAAAGCTGACCATAGTTATATTTATCCTATAATTTAGTTTCTATTTTTTTATATTTTTGCTCTTACATACAGAATTTCCTATCAACCACATATCTCAGGCTCCCCAATATATAAAAGATAAGAAAAAATATTTGATGATATACATAAAATCACAACCACAGTAATTGGACCATAGTTAAACTAATTAATTAAAAGATAATGAGTCTATGCTGTTTGTAAGTGATTATATAAAGAGAAAATATAGATTAAGTAACAAAATGAGATTAAATTTTTATATAAACAAATTGAACTTCAAGTTCTTAAAAGTTTGTTTAAAAAACAGGTCAAGATGGAGTAAATCTGTACTTTAACATCCTTCCACATGTGTTCATTTGGGTCCTTTTGCCTTGGATTTTGTTTCCTTTGGAATCTTTCCATTTTGACACTGAGTAAATCTGGCTACTGTAGAAACACCATCCACAAACTTGGTTTTGAAAAGAACATTTGCATTGTTGAACATACCTTCTTTTAGGGATACCACAATGAACTTAAGGGAAAAGAAAAAAAAAACACTTATTATAATATTCTTAAAGAATATCGGTTAAAAACAAAAACAAAGAACTCCTTTATATTGGCCTTAAGAATTATTTGAAAATAATTTGATTTTGTTTTCTCTCAAAAACATAACTCAAACAAATGTACAACCTCAAAAACAAGTAACACACATTTATACTAGGCACCTAAATGAGCTTCCCATATTCAGTTTTAGAATCTTGAGTGTTTTATTACCCAAGTGTGCTATTACCTGATTGTTGAATGTTTTCTGTTATCTTTTATAGCTGGCATCCACTGTTTAGTTGCTAGCTCTAACCATTCTAGTAAAATATTTTTCCTTGTAATGTGATACTTTAATGTCAGAGAAGGTTTCAAATTCCTATAGCACTACTATATGGAAACAGTCCATATGGAAATTTTATATAATTAAGAAAAGGCACCATTTCAATGTTATCTGCCCAAAAAACTGCCATAATAAATATGTAAGCTATGAAAATTATGAATGAAGCCCCCATAGTTACACAATATCATCATTTATACAACCGTGTTTGAAAGCCCCAGTTCTTATATCAATAGTACGAAACAACCCAAACTGCTCTTAGCTTCAAGAGGCTTTTCTCTCCTTTTTGGCCAAGAAGAATTAAAGTTCCCTTATCAAATGTCAGATGACTTTCCAATACTTGGGGTATATTATCCCTTCATATCTCTTGCAGCTATTGGAGAAAACAACTCTATCAACCCTCAATTAATCTAAACTATGACTAAATAGTATTTTCCCTTATGCTACAAATAATTTTAATGCCTGACTCTTTAAAAAGAAGACTAAATCCTTTTTTTCTTCTATATTCAGTTGAACAAGTTTAAAAAGATAAACAATGTTTTAGTATTATTAAATTCTAAACATCTTATTGATTGCTACTAAAGAATACTTGTAGAAGAAAAGTTTTTAAACTACAAATAAGACATGTGTTTCTGATTCTTACCTGAGAATGTGTGAAGTGAGTACGTAGCATCTGTCCAATATTCTGGGTATGAGAAAGATCTAAGGCTGCGTCTACCTCATCCAGAATATAAATTGGAGCAGGTTTGAAGAGGAGCATAGACAATATTAATGACAAAGCCACTAAAGACCTAAGAAAAAAAGGTTGGTGGAGCAAAGTCATAAAAATTTGTTTTTATCACTCTTCACCAAACATTAGAGCAAAGCTGTGATCCTATTATTACAATGAATAGAGCAGGGTTTATGTGAGACAGTCAAAAATCTTTAAGTTTCAAACTTCAACATTTTGTCATATTAAAATGTCTACTTTGTGTTCCAGTTTTCCTCTCTAGATTAACATACTATTTTTGTAAGACAAATTTAATACTGACATACTATATTTGGGACTTGTCCTTAAGAAAAGATCCAATTAGGTTTTTTTAAAAATAATTATTTAATTTTGTTATTTCTTCATTTGCTATAAGGCATGTGCTCACCAGACAGAGAGAGAGTAGTGAGAAATGAGAGAAGGAAAGTGAGAAAGCAAGCCTCCAGGTCTGAGACTTGAACCATGGCTGCCCATGTGGGAGTCCAGCACTCCAACCATCATAATACCTGTTGGTCCCAGGATCCAATTACTTTTAATAGTTTTATGGCTCATTATGCTAAAGGGTTTCATAGTGTCAGAATTTCAACCTTTGTCTAAAATTTGTAGTCATGCATACTTCCATATTCTACAGTTGTGGTTTTCAGTTTTCTTCTAGCTCATTATCTTATTTAATTGCAGCTGTTTCTGTTCTAATCTAGTATAGTCATAATAACTCTTAAAATATTTTTCCTTAAGAAACATATTTCATTAAAAAAAAAAAAAAAAAAAAAAAGGTCTACTTTAGGGCACAACAGGTGGCATAGTGGTTAAAGTGCTGGACTCTGATGGGGTTGACTGTGGTTCTAGTTCCAGAACCAGCGGCTTGAAAATCATATTGGGTATATGTGCATGTATGCCCAAAAGAGAAAGGGCTATGACATGGCCATCTTCCCTGGGGAATGGTGTCTCACTTTCCCTCTCAACATGTATGCCCAAAAGAGGAAGGGCTATGACATGCCATCTCCCCTGGGGAATGGTGTCTCACTTTCCCTCTCACTGTTTCTCTCTGGCGAATGCACACACTTATGGCAAAAATCTACCCCAAACAAAAAAATCTACTTTAACGCAAAATAATTAACATTTGCATTTGTAACATATTTCTTGTATGACTTCAAATATCTTGTGTTATGCAGTACTAGAATATAGGGGTGCTTCAAAAAGTTTGTGAAAATATAGAATTGAAGTATGAATACTGGTGCCAAAAAACCCTGAAATCCAGGCACCATTTTTCATCTCTTTATTTTTTTAATACAGAGATTTTTACTATATGGTACATGTGCTTGCTGGAGAAACAGAAACAGTAACAGAGAGACAGAAAGTGATGAATCACCACCCTCCCGGCCCCCCTTCCCAGGGGAATGGCCAAGCCACGAATCCCTTCTCTATTCTTCTCTTGGGATTTTTGGCATGTATACACATACACCCAGTGTGAATTTTTTAAACTGCCCGGTCCAGGACTCAAACTGTGGGAGTCCAGAGAGGTAATCATTACGCCATCTGCTGGTCCCAGCCATTTTTCTAAATAATACAGACTTTCTATGAACTTTTGGAAGATTTTGTATAAATAGTCACTCCAATGATTACTGTATTCCAGTGGAGTTAAGAATCATGTAAATGAAGGAAAGGGAACAGTTATTTCTAGCAAAAGAAATTAATGAATAATACCATAAAAACAAAAAAGAAAACAAAGCATAGTGAGACCAATATTCACCTTTTGAGGTCGGCTGAGGTCATTCGAATAACCTAAAATTATTTTTCACAGGCTTTCTCTGTGCTAAGTATTTAAGGCATTAATCTTTAAACTTTTTGGAGGAAAAAACTCAGAGGGCCAGAAGGTGGTTAAGGCACTGGATTCCCACATGGCTGACCACAGTTTAAGTCCTCCCACACCTGGGGGCTTGAAAACCATGCTAAGCAAATGTACATGCCCACCAAAAATCCCAGGAGGAGAATAGAAGAGAAGGAATCATGTTATGGCCATCCTGCTTGGGAAGTGCTTTCTTACTTTCTGTCTGTCTCTGTCCAATGAGTGCACAAGTCCTATGGCATAAAACAAAAACAAAAACAAAGCAAAAGCAAAAAAAAAAAAAAAAAAAAAAAAAGATTATGAAAACTTAAGTAAGAATTTAATGGCATAAGGACTAGCAGTTGGCATAATGGCTATGCTGCTGGACTCCCATGTAGCCGACTGTGATTCGAGTCCCAGACCCGGTGGCTTAAACTCACGCCAGGCACATGTGTGTGCATGCCCAAGATCCCAAGAGGAGAATGGAGAAGAAGGGATTGTGGCATGGCTATCCCCAACCTGGGGTGGGGGGTGATTTCTCACTTTCTATCTGTCTCTCTCTTTCTGACGAGCGCAAGCACCCTATAGCAAAAACCTCTCCCACTCAAATAATAAATAAATCAAAAATAAAAAAGAATTTAGTGACGTAGCTAAAAATAATTGTATAGTATCTTAACAATGGAAGTAATTTGTATGACGACTCAGAAGAGAAGCATACATTTTATATTTCTCCTCAAAATATATTTGAGGACTTTGGCTATAATTTAACTAAAGGTACTGGGATCTAAATTGTGAAATTGAATTTTGATTAATAATCAAATTTCTAAAAGATAGCAGGGGCTATCTTTTAGAAATTGCGAAGTCAATCATGAAGTATATGAAGAGATAAATTTCTACACCTAAAAATGAAAAAGGAGTTTTATAGAAAAATTAATGAGCCTCAGTATTTTCTATACATAAAAAAAGTCATATGATGGTATAGGACACAAACAGAAGAATTCTGCAGAAAAATAAAAGCTAAATACTAACTGAAAACATGTACAATCATATGAATATCCACCAATTTTCTCCCAGGTGGTTTTAATTTATCTGTAGGCAACGAGTTAGGCCACACGACTTTTCAAGTTTTTATCAGTATACTGATTTTCCAAATCCCTCAGACTGGAGAAATTTTCCCAAACCCCTGATACATGCTTTTTCTAATACTCTTCATTACTTTCTATCACCAGGTATCATTTTCCTGTTGCCTGAGACATTCCTTTGCCTGCAGTACAGTTTTGCTAAATCAAACTCTTAACTTTTGTCTGAAAAGTATTTATTGGATTGTTGGAAAAGTCATGATGC